AATTGCAGCTACTTTATGTAAACGTTATCCAAGTTATTTCGCTGCAGTTCATTTCTTTCAACACAATGACAGTCGTTTCAATGATGCCAATGTACTTCTTCAATCTTTAGCTGGGCAAATTGCTCGTAATTTTCCTGCTTACGAAGAACTTTTAGAGTACACACTAAGAAATCTCTCAGAACCTCTGCATGACATGAATGTTGAAAGACTATTTTCCTTTCTTTTTACTGAGTTGTTTGAAAAAATCACGAAATTTCCTAAGCGGACTTTAATTATGCTGGATGCGCTAGATGAATGTGGTTATCCAGAAAGCCTTCTCCTGGCTGATTTGTTAGATAATCATTTGTTCAAACTTCCGCCTTGTTTCTACTTTGTAATCACAACAAGACCTAACAAAGATTGTCATATCATAATTGAAAACTAAATCCGCTCTTCATCAATTTCAGTGATGATGATAACTGAATGATGTAAAATTACTAATTGAAGAAAGAATTGGCCCAACTAACAGAGTTTCACATCTTAAGGAAAATTTGCTAGAAAAGTCTGACGGACTTATGTTGCTTGCATCTCTTCTCTCCAGTAAAATTAAAAATCAGGATTCGTTCAATGGATCCATACCAAAGGATCTCAATGAATATTACGAAATTTCCTTAAAAAGAATAAGTGACGAATTAAATTCATTTCAAATCAGTAAAGAAAAATTTCAGTCACTTTTAAATGCCTTAGCAGTTGCTAAAGAACCCCTTCCTTGGGAATTAGTTGAGGACATACTTGATTTCAATGGCCTTTCATCTGTGTTAAGAGAAATTATGTTGTGCCTTTTTGCTACCAATGCAGAAGGACATGTTTCGTTTTTCCACAAGTCTTTAACTGATTGGCTGGCAGGCGAGTGTAAACATAGTTACTCTGTTAATACTACTGACGGTAATCGAGTTGTTTTAGCGTTTTGTTCAAGAACTTTAGACAATCTCAAAGCTGTCGAGGTACTACAATAACTTCGTTACACGGCCATCTGTAATGTATTCAGTCAAATATTGGTTTCTTCATATGCTTGCTACTTGTGATAATGATCATATCGTTGAATATGTTGGTAAATATCTTGTTGACTTAGATGTTTTACTTGCCTCTGTATCGATTGATAGACGTCGTACTTTGGAAAACTTTCGTCTTATAAGCTCTCATAACATATACTTTCATCTTTCTGAGGGCACTCGATTGTTATTTAATGACATTTATTGTGTTATTACGAGGCGTTTCATAAATTCCATAGTTTTTTTGCAGTACGTTGTCAACGAAATCAAAGATCTTGCACCAAAAGCTTCCACAATGCTTCAAACACGTTTCAAAGAGTCTTCTTATGTTGAGCCCCTTCATACGGATTTTGTATTAACTCCATTTTTACGTTTAGCACGAAACTTGATTTCAGTAAATGTATCGCGAAATTATGACTATGTCGTCTGTGGTTATGAAGGGTTCATTGTGCAACTTTTTTCTCTGACAACAAACAGGTGTTTATGGATAAAAGATATATCTGATCAGTTAAGTCTAAGTGAATTGAAAGGATTTTGCGTTGTCTTTCATCCTTTCACCGATCTGATTTTCGTTTCCCAATTGGATAAGGTTCTAAATATTAACAGGAATGTTGTGTCTAGTCCTTTTCATTGTGATGATTCAACTTCTATGTTCTTTACCAACAGCTGTTTTTCCAAGGATAAGTACACAATGGTCACTAGTTACAAAGATATTTTAACTGTATGGGACGTTGAGAAAGGTGAAAAGATGCACAGTGTTATATGCACAATGTGACATCCCTGTGTTTTCCAATTCAAAAAAATATTTGGGTGTTATTGACGAAAAAAACGTATTTCACACATTTGACGTAACAAAGGATTATAAGATATTTGATTCTTTACCTTTTGAAAATTATGCAAAGCGCTATCGCTATTATGATAGAAAGCTTCGTATTCTCCACTGTTGGTCTTCATTCTTGGTCTTGTGCTTTGTCTGATAATGACAAAGTTTTCGTTGTCAATCCTAGTCAAGAGGCACTTCCTGGATTAGATCTTGAGCGTACATTTGGTTTGTCTCGCTTGATCCTTTGATGATATGTTAGGCGTTTTTTAAATAGTTTCACAGGATATCATTATTATTTATTGAATGATAACAATATACTTTTATTTGATTATGGACATGCTTCTTATCTGTGTTCAATGGCGCGTGCATTTTTAACAAAATCTTTCGTTCTTGATAACCAGATAGTTTGCTCAAATGGCAACTTTCTTTATAGGAGAGATGAAAAAAAGTCATGTGTAATAGTCAACAATCTCAACACATTTGACTTTGTTGTCAAGGAATGTTTTGTTAATGGCATGGTTGCCGTAGAAAATGGAGTCATTTTGCTTACGGCAAAAGCTATTCCTGAGCTTTGGAATAATGATTTGACAAAACTTCTTTATAGTTTCGATGAACTAAATGGTACAAACAAAATTTTTGAGGTGAATGATGTATCATTTGCTTGTCAAAAAACTGATTCTCTTGTGTTTGTCAATATTGAAAACAAACGAAAAGAAATATCTGTGAATTTTGAAAATTATCTAAATGTGCACGTAATTGCATGTAGTTCTAAGTATCATGTGTTTGCGAAAACGGAACACAAAGAAACTTACTATTTGTGGCACAAAGATAAACTAGTTGATGGTTGGCCAATACATAGATTTCCCAGGTTTGATCACGCAGATTTTTCACCATCAGCTGATAAATTATTAGCAAGTGACAAGTTTATGTATATGGAAGTCTTTGACATTAAAACCACGCAAGTTATTTATACTTCAAATAAGCGCAATTTGTCAGGTAAGTTTGTCTTTATTGATGATAGATTTACAATTTGTAGTAGCTTAACACTCATTGATTTGAAGTGTGGTAAGAATATAAAATTAGATTACCCGTTTGTCAATAAAAAAGGGAGTTCTTTTTATTTTTGTCGTAAAAGCCAACTTGCCTTTACCTTATTTACTGACTTACAAGTCCCAGTAAATTGCGCAAAAATCATCTTACCCAGAGAGTAAATTTCGTCGTCATCTCAACTGATCATATTTCGGGTATTATGATTTCATTGTTCAACAACATAAATTTTACATCATTTTTTGTTCGTTATAGGAAAGAAGTCAATCATTAACAAAATTTAAAACAATCGAAAATGCAATTCACAATTGCAGTGAGACATGTGTAAGTGAAAAATAATCAGTATCAACAATAAGGACGATTACGCATAAAAACTGAAATTCTTAAATGAAAAATGAAACTTAAATAACAATAATATGGAACATGGCAACACACAAACGAATTTTGCGTTTAAACGCAATAAATTAAACATGATGAGAAATTCACTTCAACGACAACACAGATTTATTATAAAAAGTTCTACTACAACGCCAGCAAACTATTGGTAGCTAGTTGTCAACCAAAATATATCTGAGCATTGCTGTTTTACGTACTTCTATGTCCACAATGCTTTCAGTAGGCTTTCTTCCTACATGTTAAAGCATTGTTGTATCTATATTAGTTTTTACATTAAATATTTTGGAATGGTAGAACTCACATGATAACTTGCATTTTATATGTATGCTTGCTAAGATATAGTAAAAAACATTATTTGTTTTCTGAGTAAAATCATTATCTAACAAAGTCATTTTAGTTCTTTTTTGTTAAATCCTTAATATTGAATTTGCATCTCATTGAGTAATTTAATTTTTGTTTTTATGCATGATCCAATTGTTGACACTATAACCAAAATAAGGTATCTGTTAGTTGAACCAAATTGTAGAAAAATTCTTTTTATGAATTTCTTCCTATGTATAGACGTATGTTTGCAAACCTAAGTTAGTTTAATTGTTTTTCTGTTCGCTGAATGTGAGAAATTTGAGAATGTTTTGCTCTCAAGTCAATAATATAGAAATGAAAACAATTTTTCTCTAAACTTATACACAGCAAAACAATTCTTAAAAAAAACTTTTATATACTAGAAAATCAAAACGAAAAATTTGAAATTTTACGCATAATTACCTTGCAAATGTTTTAGTGCAAGATAGTTCAATTTTGCATGTTGCACGTTTTTAGTTATTTGCATTAAAAACAAATTGTTAACCAACACTATCTTGCACTAAAATAATTTTAATACTTCAGTAGCTGAAAACTTATGGTAATAAATGCTTTTGATAGTAAAATATCTAAATATCAATAAAGATATTATAGCTAACAGAGACGAAGCTAGCCCAAACTTTTGTTGTACAAATATTTTTTTGTGATCATTCATGAACGTTGTTAATTCATTAAAAAAATTAATTGCAGCTTTGCCAAGTTTTTTTTAGAAGAACTTTAAATTTGGAATAGCTTCGCCCCTGAGTGTGAAAAAATAAATTTGCATTCTTAAGACGAAATTGACTTCATAATCTCCCTTGACCATCATGATAAACAATGGAACCATTTTGGCTGAACGCTCCGAACTTTCTTTAAATGTACCTTGCACAAGAAAATAATTTTATTTATTTTTATCTTATCACACAAACATATAAAATACAAACTATTTTTAGTTATTGTACCATAGGTTATATTTTGTTTATATCTACACCATGTAAACATATAATTTTCATGCAAATGTTTTCAGTGTATGATGGTTTTAATATTGCACGTTTTTCGATACTCTTTTACACCAAAAACAAGTTGTGACTAATTAAATCAATACTCTCTTGCCCTGAAATAATTTCTTAATACTTTTTAATTATTGCATTTTGATATAAAAAATATCTATGTGCTAAGTTGTTAAGAGAGACAAAGGCAGCCCAATTGTTACTTCGGTTATATGAATATTTTCATCTTTATCAATTTGAAAAACCTTAATTTATAATAAAACAATGGTACCTTTGCTAATTTTTTCAAGAAAAACTAAAAATTTGGCTGTCTTTGTCACTGACTGTTAAAAAGTAAATCAAAGCCCACAAGAAAATGACTTATGATTGACGTTCATCATCGTGATAAACAATATAACCATTGAAATCGAACACTCCAAACAGTATGAACAGGAAAAGTTAACAAAAGTGAAAGAACGTTTTGCAATATAGAGAGACAGAAAACAAACCACAATGTCGCATATAGAAGGATGTTTAATGAGAAGTTTTTAATGCTCTTAATGAAAAATTGATATCAAGCATTGTTAAAGTTTGAACACTTTTATTTTGTGAATCGATATTTTATGGAAATTCATTTTTAACAACATCAAGTCAAACATCAGTGGACATACTGCAAGTTACTTTGCCAAAGTTTGATATGTTTATGGCTTGTCTATAAAATTCCATCGTATACTCTTAATTCAAACGATAGTACAAGAAGGAGAAGCTTTATTTCAGGAAGTGACGTAATGAAAGAAATGACAAAATTATGTACCATGGTTCTGTTTGGATTTCTTGTTGTACTTTGTAACATCACCTGGTCACGTGCTCATTGAAATGTCATCTGTGGTCATAATAGCAAGATATGAACTTTTCCTTTTTTAAAGTGATGAAGCTCCTTATTCACTTTGTTCACTTTTTATAAAACTGAAACAAGAAAATTATCATCTCATATGGACGTTTTGATGTGAACATAACGGAGAAGTAATCGTGAGAATGAATGAAAAAAATTAGATTTTATTACATTGTGGCTATTGGGATATGGTAAAGTGATCTTTAGAGTTGCATCATTAATTAAAGCTGCTTCTTCATCCAAACACACTGCCATCGTAAAAATCATAGCAGTTAGTCACCTTTGCGCATGCTCTGAAATATTTATGTACTTGGATGATACTATAACCTGTGTGAAATGAATTAACAGCAACATGTCATGAAAATTTAAAGTTAATCTCACCTATGGATGGTTGTAGAATAAAAGTGATCAGTTTAGTTCATGTAAATGGTCAACAAATCATTCACAACAAAAGTAACTTCAACATGTAAGAACTACATCAAGTTATGAGAATGAAAAATATGGAAAAATTTCAACGTCTTTCTTTTTCAAGATGTCATATTTCTAAATCCTTTGTGCTTTATTTTTTATGTAGTGAACAATTTTAGATCATTAAATTTTATTTCATATTGTTGTGTACATTGTTACGTATAGTATAGTTACGTTCTGCTTTTTAAATTTCAAATGCTCTGAATAAATGAATCCCACATATCTCAACTCCAATTTTTGTATTAATAATAATTTGCCAACTGCCAGGTGAAGAATGAGATTACTCGTGCTTTAAAAAAGGAGTTATCTTATCTTAAGGTAAAAAATAGCAATTTTCAAAATTAGCATTGAATAGTTGTATATAATAACGTTCACTCACTATTCAACGACATTATTTGTTGGTAACTGTCATTTTGTAAAGCAAGTTGAAAAGTACCCGTATTGTATCGAAATAGAACAATTGCAGTTAGTATTTTAAAGACTCGTTGGGATTCATTCATTTAGCACTTATAATAAATAATGAGGAACTTTCTTTTTGCCCTGTGCTTTGTTGAACTCTGTTTTTTCAAACGTGTTAACATAGTTTTATCTTATTAGTATTTTAATGTAGGAGATAATCGTATTAATATGTTTTCTGCAAAATTGTTACAATATATGTGTGTTGATTATATTGTGAAACAGACTTTGTCGTGGTGACAAACTTAAAGATAGATTTCAAAATAGCAAATACCATGGTGAATGGTGATAATAACAATGTAATAGTTCTTAAAATAGTTCTATGCATTTCGGCAGACTACTCATCAGGTGTCAACGTCTGCTAAATGAGAACCTCCAAACCATGTTATATTTATAACGTTAGGAAGGTCGAGATGACACTTAAAACAGAGACAGATTAAACACGTAATCCTTTTGTCGGCAAAGGACAAGATTACATGATTATCACCATTCACCATGGTATTTGCTATTTTGAAATTCTTTATTATATTGTGTATAAATAGCTTTCAAATTTGTCCTACACCAAATCTATATTGTTGAAATCTCGGGGACAAACTTGCCATTTCCCCAGGAGCGTACAGAAAGTGTTTGTTATTTAGGAAAAAGAGTATAGATTTTGACAGCTTTTCAATAAAATCGACTATTTATTGGGAAATTCGGCCGGCGAAATTTTGTTGCAAAATTCTAATAGTGACCACAGCATTTTAGGTTGACTTCCGAGTGTGTTCTGAATCTTTTTTTTTTATCAAGATTTGATTTTCGTCGCTTAATAAGCTCGAGAAATGTTTTTTTAGTTTCAGGAGCTATATTTAGGGACGAAATCTTGTGAAAAAATAACAAAAGAACGTAGATAGAACTTAAAAGAGTTGATGTTATTTAAATTAAAATTAAAAGATATCACAAAAAATACTTAATCTTGATGGAAAAGTAACATTTATATTTATTAGTTAGCACTCTAGACTTCGCTTGATTTCTTCTTATTTGGTGAATGGTTAATTAAAATTGTATTGTTAGTCTTGATTTCGGGACTTTCGTACCAGAAGGAGAAAATGACACATATGCCATGTTGTTCGTCATGGTCGTTTTACCGAAAAACAATTGTCATAACTTCGGGTAAATGAAGTGCATCAAAATTTTATCAAATTCAACAAATTTTTGTTCATGAGTGTATGTTTCCTATACATGTTAGGAACCGAGGCTGTAAGTGATATACGGCACAAAGAGTCGGGAGGTATAGCGATTACAGTTGTGGTTCTAGTCCGCTTTTAACTTATAACGATTGAAGACGTTTTCCAGGAGGAACAATTTGACTATATTTTGTAGAAAATTATTTGTATAAAACTAATTGTAATACAAACACAAAACGTGAAACCATTTGCCAACTGCCAACTTCCTTTATGGAAACAATAGAGAAGTGTCCATTAATATTTGAGTCAAAACAGTGATGAATCCTAAAGGTTTTTATTTAAAATTCATATTTTTTGCATGCTGTTTTCATTTTATTCGAGCTGTGTTGTGGTTAGTAGTGATATCTGAAAAAGAGTGGTCTGGGCATGTTTAAATTTTTGTGAAGTTGCGAATTTTAAACATTTCTAGACACATTACTTTGAGCAAGTTAAATCATTCACCGTACAGTAAATGTGCAAGTTAGAGCCTAAAGTTTAAAGTTGCTTGAGAATCATTCTCTATGTCGTTGTGAAATACAATGTTGTTTCTTTTGGGCAAGAACTTGGCTTTTTGAAGTTCTCGAATGTACAGAAATATGAGATTCAATCAATTGACATTAGATCCGACATGTAATGGGCAGCCTAAGAAGCTTTTGGGTGTGTGAAATATTTTGTCGTGAATCTGATGAAGATGATGATAATTCAATCGTGAGTGAAATATGAATGTAAATTAAATATAGATTTAAAGCGTAATTCCTCAACTTAAAAGATTATGAATTTGCAAGCTGCATCCAGATACAGCCTAGAAATGCCGGGCTATATTCAGATACAGCCCGGAAACTTGGCTGTCACAGGGAATGATCTTAATACACCCATGAATTCATGCAGTTACGCTAAATACAGCCGGCGGAACATCAAAAAAAACGACTCTATCCTTTAATAACATTACATAAATAAACGACTATATTTATAATCGCTAACTTTCATTTATACACATAAATAAATGCTTTTCATATGACAAGAGAAGACTGTTAGGAATAAAACTCAAAAAGATGCTTCATAAATTTAAACTTGGTACTCACGTTACATACGTTTTCATAGAAAGGCGACGTTTTGAGAAAAATTAAATCAAATCTTTAAAGCTTCAATATGTTCAACGCAAATATAAAGTAAAGCACATTTTTTGAGTTATATGTCCTTTATAAGAAGCATGTAAAAAATTATCTTAAGTCGTCCAGTCGTATTAACCCTACTCAACATAAAACGTCAATTTATTAGCGACTAATCATGAGACACTGGATAAAACTTTTTAAGGCGTGGTCGGCATATTTTAAATGTTGATGTATGACCTTATTTACCCGACTTTTCAGAGAATATTGTCCGATTGCCTTTGTTGTTTAACAGTTGGGTGGAGGGGAGGTGTGAACAAAGAAAACAATACTAAGGTTAAATATAACGGTTTCTCAGGTGAATCGACAACCCAGATATCACATCGTCTTTGTTCTTTTCAATGCAACCATCAACTGATAAAAAATATTCTAATACGTACCATAGTGTACATTTCGTGAACTAGTGGTTGAGATCACTGCGTGTGTTTTGTATTTCTTTTAACGTAGCGACGTATAAATGTACTCGTTAGAATGTTAGTGTAATAAATCACCAAAATGCGTTTTCTTCGACGAAAATGCGATTGTAATAATGTTTTGAAAATAACAAATCAGCTTATTTACCAACATTCTGTTTATAATCATCTATCGTTAATTCCAAATTTATTGGTGTGAAACAGAACGTACTTTCATAGAAACGCATTTTGTGTAATTCTGTAGAATTCCGATCTTACCTTCCGAAGAATCCGAACTTTATCTCTTTTCTAGACTCGAATTTCTTTTGAAACGCGTAGGTGGTTGAAAGTATTGTTTGAACGAGAAAATTTTCGCTCTTTGATTGGGTGATTTCGTTGATACAATCGTAGATGTAAATATCAGGGCTTTGTAAATATACCTGTGATTGGTCGATACCTGCGATTAAGCCCAAAACATTTGCTACATATCACCTCCTCTCCCTTACAGCAATTGTCCTGGTGCTCATGCCAGGCAAAGTAACAAAAATACGTGATTTCCAATCCTTTCACACATGACATGACATGGAGAATGAATGGATGGATGGACATGAATGATATGTTTTAACAGATTTAATATAGATAATAAATTATATCTGATTTTACTCTTTATCTTTTATATTTGGTCATAAATGAAACAGTAATTTTGAACATTTTATGAATTATGCTGTAGAATGTTGTCATTGTTATTGGGGTTTAGTTGAGAAGGACCTAAAAGGCATCACATTTGGGTTTTTTATCATTTTATTTTAAATTTTAATTTATCAATGCTGCATTCATTTATGTGTTAAATGAGACAACACATATTTGAATATAATGGTAGCAAAATATTTAAACAAAAGCAACAACCTCAGTTTGGATTTAATCAAATAATGCCCAATACAATTATATTTTTCAAAACTTTGAAATACTTTGAGACTTATTATAAAGTTACCAGTCACACAACATCTCTTACTAATCTTGCATTCTGAAATATCTGTTGGAACATGGCATTTTTTGCTTCTTCACAAAACACTGTATATGTTGGTTTTATAAATTGTTATATGTATGTATGTATGATCTCAAAAGCACCAGATTAATTATGGATTTAAAATAAACAACAAATTTTTTTTATTATAAACATGTTTCGACTTTCCAGTCTACTGAAGTTGACTTAATATAAGTTGATGTTTATAATAAAAAAGTTGTCGTTAATTTTAAATGCCTAATTGTTATATGTGTTGGGTGTTTAATTCACCCGACCATTTAATACAGTTTTGAACAATGAAAAATCAAATTTGAATCTTGGAAAAGGTGACCATGTCTACTTAATATAGGTGGACTGTTCAATAAAGGTCACTTAAATAGTATTTATATTTTGAATTTTTGGGACATTACCACACAATTGCCAAAAATAACCACTGTATGAAAAAATGTATGCTCCAAACAGATGTTTTCAAACAAGTTGCTTTCTTACATAATTCATTCATATTTAAATTGTTATGCATCAAGATCGTTCAGTTGTAGGGAAAAATGTTTCAGTTCCTAAGTCCCTGACATAAAACAACTATATTACAATAAACCAAGCACCCAAAAAGTAATAAAAAAATTCCATTTAAGATAATTCACTTAAGAAAGACTGGCCACAAAAAATTCCAGTGCCACATCTTCCTCTATGGTTTGTCAAAACTACACATTATTATTCCCAATTGCTAATTATTGCTCTAACTAGTAAATCAAATGAATACAATATTTGTCACATTATCACTGTCTTGAGAAATTACATTTTTATTGTCTTTCACATGTATAAATATTGTACTTTAGCACATGTTTCTCTTGCTGGAGACTCTTTAAGACGAAATTTCTTTACTCAAGAATTTTAAAATGAAAGGAATGAACTAAAGACTGCTGAATCTTATGGCAAAGACAGTGAATATTCTGAAGATGGTATGTAAAAATAACAAATTCGTAAGAAGTTTATGATGTACAAACTGATGAGTGGCGAACGTTTGATATTTACTAAAGAAATTTGTTCTACAAAATCAACATAGTCCATTGATAGATGTCTTGAAAGCAGACTAGGATTTTTTCTCTGTAGAACAGAGCATGTGCTCAATACTGCCAACAATTACAAGAGATACTATGTAGCTATGTACAAGCTTAAACCGTTAGCTATTTATGTATGACTAATAGTGAGATATTAATTATCGTGCTAATTTCACGTTCTTTGCAAAGTTTTCATGTAGCTAATATTTTTCATTGTATATTTAGCACACCTATCTAAAATTCACAGGCAACGTATGTAGTTCTGGGTATGTGGTTATTGAGCAAAAACATGTTTAGATCACAACTTACGTTCATTCGTATGCAATATAAATTTCTTCATGACATGGTGTATGTTGAACTTTCATCTTTGAAAAATGTTGCTTAAAAAAGAGTGTCGCTATTTGTTGGCAACGTTAAAATTTAACTATTACGAATTGGCAATAAAACTAAAATAATCACTCATATATTGATATATACTGTTATTCCCATTTTAACTTAGGAAGAATTAGTATAAGAATTGTTTCCCTATAGACGATGTAAGTTTTCTTTCAACGAAAATTTTTTTTTAATCCATTTTTGTAGAGTGATTTATTGTAATCCAATAAAACAAAAGTATTTTAAAAGAACTTTCTCCATTACAGCTTTACCATGTCTCCTGCCATTAATAAGATAACCACTATAAAGCATGGACAGATTTACTGAGGAGGGGTACAGGGGGGGCACGCAAACTTTACACTCAACTCCCAAAAATAAATTGCACACCCCTGTCAGAAACATTTTAACTTCCTCAATTTTTAGCGAAACAAATCTGTAGTACAGGTGAACTGAGTTTTTCTGGGCAATGTTTCAACTTTCTTTACTATCTTTGGTGGCTGCACTACCAAAACTCCCCTAAAATCTACACTTTCATTGTCGTCACTTCTTTACCAATTGACTATTAAATTAGCACTTTTAATTTCCAGTATTTTCTTGCGTGTAGCATTTACTCTTGACTTTCTCATGCGGTAGCATTTACCTTACAAAAATTTCGATAAAATTGTGCAAAGTATTTTCATCAAAAGATAAAGATCATGTATTAAGTATTTGTTGTTCGAATTTCAGTGACATAAGTAAAGTACATGGGAACGAACTTCTGAATTCGAATTCCAGTTTGTCACAGATTGTTAAGATTATTTCCGTGAACATTCGCTATCTATATGTTGCTAAAAGTTTCATAAATTGTATGAATGATTGTAAGAAATGCAAAATTACATGCGATCCCAAAGACTAGTCAATGTAAATCACCGTTAGTTACTGCTTTTGATTAAGAGGTTAACTAAAAGCAGCTTCCACAAGATCGAAATATCTTCGAGTCTTCGACAGAAGATAGAAATCATTTAATAAACATTCGCTCCTAGAAATGTTGGGACATAACACTTCCCAAATTTGACTTTATTGTTACATGTTTCGTTGTACTAATCACTGCAATGTTTGATGAATTTTTGATTTTCGTTTTTTAAGTAACAGTAGGTGATATATGTGATTCTACAATTGTTTTGATGTGAAATGAACAAACGCGCGCTATGCATGATGGTTGTTGGCAAACTCTATTTCAAAAATCGAAAGAGTTTGTGAAAATTTATCTGTTGAAATTTAATTTTTATTCTTAAGGTGTCGACAGCAGTAGACTGTATTTTATTTTATCGCTTAGAGTAATCAATCAACATATTTATTTGAGAAATGACAAAAGGCTACTCTCCTTATCGGCTTTCACTTTTATTATGCACCATGTCTGCGTCCGCAAAGAATGATGAGGTTTTGTTACGACATAATGACGCATTTGCACATGTGATATTGTATAGTTCTCAATCTCTTACTTCGTCATGATCATTCTCGTTGAACAGAAATTATGCTCGTTATTGACTTTAATGCATGGCTATAAGCACGGTACTTATTACGTAGTTGCAACTCTAGATGATTTGTAGTCGATGTTTATTGAAATTAAATGATATTTTGAAGTCAAAATTGACCAATTCATCTAGTTTGACGTTTTTTTCTTTATACAGTGAATCATGAGCGCCGACGACGACGTCGATAACGTTGATCAACAAGAATTAGACAGTGTTTTATGTACTGAACAAGGTAACATGTTTGAAATATTAAGGAATTTTTATTGAATTATCAACCTAAAGGTTATTGTCCAACAGATCGTTTCAAAGATAACCATAAGCATTCAATTTCTTTGATATTTATTAAAACAAAGCAAGTGACGTTTGTCGTTTCGTCTCGACTCAAGACATCTTCAAATGAGATGTAATTACTTAGATAGTTAAGGTGTGAGGTTTGTGTGGATGTGTACTTACAGTGTAAAGCTGATATTGAGTATTGTAAGGAAATGTAAGAAAGATTGTACAAGATATAAGGGGGGATGAGTAATGGAGGGAAATTTACCATAAAGAGAGCTGGGAGGACGTTCATTCTCCCCTCCCACTATTATTTCAAAGACCAATTTAAGAGTTTTAAAGATCTGAAGAGAAAAAGGAGTATAGATAGTTGCTTCCTGTGAAAAGGCACACAGCAAAGTAAAAGTAATAAACAGGAACTTTTGAGCATCATAGTAAAGCCTAGGCCGCACTATCGTCCATATCGACGAAAATTAGAACGAAAACTGCCGCAACGAAAATCTTGAACGAAAACTCAACGAAAATTTCGTTTTTGTGCTTATAAGAAGAGTTAAACTTTTGACATTTTTCGTTAACGAAAACGCATGCAATTGGCTAATAATCTAAAACTTAACTACACAAAGATGGCGGGGTGGCATGAGTTTTAATAAATCCGATGCGAGAAAAACAATTTGTCGTCATTCGCAATTATTTTATGAGTCTGTTTTCTTTGTTTGGTTCTCGTAACTCAATCAAATTGTTAAATAATCCAGTCGATCACGTCGTTTATTAATCAAAATCTAGTATCGGCCTTTGATTGTCTTGCTAAATGGTTGCTTTCAACTTCAGAAGGAGTATCTTCTGCAAGAGGAAGACACTTTTTTCTTTTGCTTCTTTTTGTTACCGCAACGGCTACTACAAAGACACATCCAGCAATACTGTTTACATGTTTTAGCCGATCTTTGTAAACATGCTTGCAATTTTACGTCGTGTCTGGCATGTATTTTGTGCACGAATTTCGTTTGGTTTTCGTTTTCGATTATCGACGATAGTGGTCCTAGGCTTAACTCTATGTAATTAGTATGAGAAGTCTTGAGTCAAGACGAAAGGTCGCTTGTTTTTTAAATAAATACTGAAAGAATCAAATGCCGATGGCTTTCAAACACGATCTGTTGGCATCTTATCTTTATATTTAGAATTGATTCACACCTGCACCTCACTGGCAACATTGAAATTTTATAAATTCTTATTAATTGTTGTCCACTCATATTTACGATGTATTTGACATGTTTGACGTTTTTTTTAGTTGCAAGCGATTGTTGAAATTCATATTCCATTGAAATCCTACAGTGGCAGTTCGGCCCTACCAACGAACGATTTGTCTATGAATCGAGACAGTAAACATCTATATGCTGTCCTGTTGAAGTGATAGAAATCCTACGGAGGTAATGGTTACCCCAAAGGATTGGGGAAAATTGAAAAAACAACACATTTGAGAGAACGTTGCTAAATCGATCAGCGTACAAGGTTCGCAAAAACCTTTGGTGAAAATAAGTAGTTTGACTTCCAATGATTTATCTAATGTCAAATTTTCACATATTTGTAGATGTAGATCGTCCAAGTTTATAAAGTCATAAAAAGGACTTTTTTGTTGTTGTTGATTGACGTTTTGACTTTCTTAGCAGTCGTCACCTTTAAAGTCAAGTTGACTTTTCTGGACTCTACTAAGAATGACGATCTACATCTAAAACATGTAACGATACGTCCTGGTTCAAACCATTTACGTTATTACAGTTATTGATGTTGACTGACGTTTTTGACTTCCTTAGCAGTAGTCACCTTTAATGTCAAGTTGTCTTTCTCAGGACTCTACTAACAATGACGATCTACATCTAGAAACATGTAACGATACGTCCGGGTTCAAACCATTTACGTTATTACAGTTATTGATGTTGACTGACGTTTTGACTTCCTTAGCAGTCGTCACCTTTAAAGTCAAGTTGACTTTCTCAGGACTCTACTAGCATGACGATCTACATCTAGAAACATGTAACGATACGCCAGGGTTCAAACCATTTACGTTATTACAGTTATTGATGTTGACTGACGTTTTGACTTCCTTTGCAGTCGTCACCTTTAAAGTCAAGTTGACTTTCTCAGGACTCTACTAAGCATGACGATCTACATCTAGAAACATGTAACGATACGCCCAGGTTCAAACCATTTACGTTATTACAGTTATTGATGTTGACTGACGTTTTGACTTTGCAGTCGTCACCTTTAAAGTCAAGTTGACTTTCTCAGGACTCTACTAAGCATGACGATCTACATCTAGAAACATGTAACGATACGTCCGGGTTCAAACCATTTACGTTATTACAGTTATTGATGTTGACTGACGTTTTGACTTGTTTAGCAGTCGTCACCTTTAAAGTCAAGTTGACTTTCTCAGGACTTTACTAACCATGACGATCTACATCTAGAACATGTAACGATACGCCAGGGTTCAAACCATTTACGTTATTACAGTTATTGATGTTGACTGACGTTTTGACTTCTTTAGCAGTGGTCACCTTTAAAGTCAAGTTGACTTTCTCAAGACTTTACTAACCATGACGATCTACATTTAGAACATGTAACGATACGTCCGGGTTTAAACCATTTACGTTATTACAGTTGTTGATGTTGACTGACGTTTTGGCTTCCTTAACAGGTCACCTTTAAAGTCAAGTTGACTTTCAAGACTTTACTAACAATGACGATCTACATCTAGAAACATGTAACGATACGCCAGGCTCAAACCATTTACGTTATTACAGTTATTGATGTTGACTGACCTTTGACTTCCTTAGCAGTGGTCACCTTAAAGTCAAGTTGATTTTCTCAGGACTCTACTAACAATGACGATCTACATCTAGAAACATGTAACGATACGTCCGGTTCAAACCATTTACGTTATTACAGTTATTGATGTTGACTGACGTTTTGACTTCCTTAACAGTAGTCACCTTTAATGTCAAGTTGTTCTTCAGGACTCTACTAACCATGACGATCTACATCTAGAAACATGTAACGATACGTCCGGGTTCAAACGATTTACGTTATTACAGTTATTGATGTTGACTGACGTTTTGACTTCTTTAGCAGTGGTCACCTTTAAAGTCAAGTTGATTTTCTCAGGACTTTACTAACCATGACGATCTACATCTAGAATCATGTAACGATACGCCTGGGTTCAAACCATTTACGTTATTACAGTTATTGATGTTGACTGACGTTTTGACTTCCTTAACAGTGGTCACCTTTAAAGTGAAGTTGACTTTCAAGACTTTACTAACCATGACGATCTACATCTAGAAACATGTAACGATACGCCAGGTTCAAACCATTTTACGTTAATACAGTTATTGATGTTGACTGACGTTTTGACTTCCGCAGTGGTCACCTTTAAAGTCAAGTTGATTTTCCAGACTCTACTAACCATGACAATCTACATCTAGAAACATGTAACGATACGTCCGGGTTTAAACCATTTACGTTATTATAGTTGTTGATGTTGATTGACGTTTTGGCTTCCTTAACAGTGGTCACCTTTAAAGTCAAGTTGACTTTCTCAAGACCTTACTAACCATGACGATCTACATCTAGAAACATGTAACGATACGCCAGGGTTCAAACCATTTACGTTATTACAGTTATTGATGTTGACTGACGTTTTGACTTCCTTAGCAGTGGTCATCTTTAAAGTCAAGTTGATTTTCTCAGGACTCTACTAACCATGACGATCTACATCTAGAAACATGTAACGATACGCCAGGGTTCAAACCATTACGTTATTACAGTTATTGATGTTGACTGACGTTTTGACTTCCTTAGCAGTGGTCACCTTTAAAGTCAAGTTGATTTTGTCAGACTCTACTAACAATGACGATCTACATCTAGAAACATGTAACGATACGTCCGGGTTTAAACCATTTACGTTATTACAGTTGTTAGTTGACTGACGTTTTGACTTCCTTAACAGTGGTCACCTTTAAAGTCAATTTGATTTTCTCAGGACTCTACTAACAATGACGATCTACATCTAGAAACATGTAACGATACGTCCGGGTTTAAACCATTTACGTTATTACAGTTGTTGTTATTGACTGACGTTTTGACTTCCTTAACAGTGGTCACCTTTAAAGTCAAGTTGATTTTCTCAGGTCTCTACTAACCATGACAATCTACATCTAGAAACATGTAACGATACGTCCGAGTTTAAACCATTTACGTTATTACAGTTGTTGATGTTGACTGACGTTTTGATCTCCTTAGCCTTCGTCATTTTAAAGTCAAGTAGAATTTCTCAGGACTCTACTAACTATGACGATCTACATCTAGAAAACATGTAACGATACGCCAGGGTTCAAACCATTTACGTTATTACAGTTATTGATGTTGACTGACGTTTTGACTTCCTTAGCAGTGGTCACCTTTAAAGTCAAGTTGATTTTCTCAGGACTCTACTAACTATGACAATCTACATCTAGAAACATGTAACGATACGTCCGAGTTTAAACCATTTACGTTATTACAGTTGTTGATGTTGACTGACGTTTTACTTCCTTAGCCGTCGTCATCTTTAAAGTCAAGTTACTTTCTCAGGACTCTACTAACAATGACGATCTACATCTAGAAACATGTAACGATACGTCCGGGCTCAAACCATTACGTTATTACAGTTGTTATTGACTGACGTTTTGACTTCTTTATAGTTGTCACCTTTAAAGTCAAGTTGACTTTCTCAGGACTCTACTAACCATGACGATCTACATCTAGAAACATGTAACGATACATCCGGGTTCAAACCATTTACGTTATTACAGTTATTGATATTGACTGACGTTTTGACTTCCTTAGTAGTTGTCACCTTTAAAGTCAAGTTGTCTTTCTCAGACTCTTCTAACAATGACGATCTACATCTAGAAACATTTAACGATACGTTTGGGTTCAAACGATTTACGTTATTACAGTTATTGATGTTGACTGACGTTTAGATCTCTTAGCAGTGGTCACCTTTAAAGTCAAGTTGATTTTCTCAGGACTTTACTAACCATGACGATCTACATCTAGAAACATGTAACGATACTGAGTTCAAAACGATTTACGTTATTACAGTTATTGATGTTGACTGACGTTTTGACTTCTTTAGCAGTGGTCACCTTTAAAAGTCAAGTTGATTTTCTCAGGACTTTACTAACCATGACGATCTACATCTAGAAACATGTAACGATACGCCTGGGTTCAAACCATTTACGTTATTACAGTTGTTGATTTTGACTGACGTTTGGTTTCCCTTAACAGTGTGGTCACCTTTAAAGTCAAGTTGACTTTTTATCAAGACTTTACTACCATGACGATCTACATCTAGAACATGTAACGATACGCCAGGGTTCAAACCATTTACGTTTTACAGTTATTGATTTTGACTGACGTTTGACTTCCTTTAGCAGTGGTCACCTTTAAGTCAAGTTGATTTTTCAGGACTCTACTAACCATGACGATCTACATCTAGAAACATGTAACGATACGTCCGGGTTTAAAACCATTTACGTTATTACAGTTGTTGTTATCGACTGACGTTTTAACTTCCTTAACAGTGGTCACCTTTAAAGTCAAGTTGATTTTCTCAGGACTCTACTAACCATGACAATCTACATCTAGAAACATGTAACGATACGTCCGAGTTTAAACCATTTACGTTATTACAGTTGTTGATGTTGACTGACGTTTTGACTTTAGCCGTCGTCATCTTTAAAGTCAAGTTACTTTCTCAGGACTCTACTAACAATGACGATCTACATCTAGAAACATGTAACGATACGTCCGGGCTCAAACCATTACGTTATTACAGTTATTGTTATTGACTGACGTTTTGACTTCCTTAGTAGTTGTCACCTTTAAAGTCAAGTTGACTTTCTCAGGACTCTACTAACCATGACGATCTACATCTAGAACATGCAACGATACGCAGGGCTCAAACCATTTTACGTTATTACAGTTATTGGTGTTGACTGACGTTTTGACTTCCTTAGCAGTGGTCACCTTTAAAGTCAAGTTGATTTTCTCAGGACTTCACTAACAATGACGATCTACATCTAGAAACATGTAACGATACGTCCGGGTTTAAAACCATTTATTGTATTACAGTTGTTGTTATTGACTGACGTTTTGACTTCCTTAACAGTGGTCACCTTTAAAGTCAAGTTGATTTTCTCAGGACTCTACTAACCATGACAATCTACATCTAGAAACATGTAACGATACGTCCGAGTTTTAAACCATTTACGTTATTACAGTTGTTATGTTGACTGACGTTTGATCTCCTTAGCCTTCGTCATCTTTAAAGTCAAGTTACTTCCTCAGGACTCTACTAACAATGACGATCTACATTCTCGAAACATGTAACGATACGTCCGGGTTCAAACGATTTACGTTATTACAGTTATTGATGTTGACTGACGTTTTGACTTCCTTAGCAGTAGTCACCTTTAATGTCAAGTTGTCTTTCTTAGGACTCTTCTAACAATGACGATCTACATCTAGAAACATGTAACGATACGTCCGGGTTCAAACGATTTACGTTATTACAGTTATTGAT